ATAGATAGATAGATAGATAGATAGATAGATAGATAGATAGATAGATAAAGAAACCTGAGTTCCACAGCCACGTGTTTGACAGAGCTGGGGAGTCCTTTGAAAGAGGTAGGGGTGGGGAGGATAGAGGACCTGGGGAAACAAGAATTCCATAAGAAGACCAACAGAATCAACTAACCCAGACCCATGGGGACTTACAGAGACAGAAGCACCAACCAACAAGAAGCATGTATGGACTGGACTAGATCTCCTACACGGATATAACTGATGGGCAATTTGATCTTCACGTGGGTTCCCTAGTAGGTTGAGTGGGTAATGCCTATGACAAGGACTCTTTTGCCCTCTTTTGATCATTTACCACTAAGGGGGTTGCCTCCCCAGGCCTCAGTGGATGAGAGTGAGCTCATTCCTGATGTGACTTGATGTGCTTGGGTTGGGTGGGGCTCCCCTTTTCTGAGGAGAAGGGGGAGAATAGGAAAGGAGGTTGGGACTAAAGGAAATGAGGGAGAGGGCCATGATAGGGACGTCAAGTGAACACATAAATTAAAAATAAACTTTAGAAAAGAGAGAAATCCAAGTCAGTTCTTAGAAAATACATTTTAACGTAGTGGGGGAAGAGAGAAGGAAGGTGGGCCAGGAGGAGATGAGGGAAGGGGCTACAGCTGGAATACAAAGTGAATAAATATAATAATAATAATAATAATAATAATAATAATAATAATAATAATAGAATAAAATATATTTTAAAAGCTGGCCATGATGTCATGTCATGCTCAAGAGTCAGGACAAGCAGACTACTGGGTCTCACTGACTGACCAGCCTAGCCTGCTTGGCAAGCTCTAGGCTAGTGAGAAACCCTGTCACGAAAACAAGCAAACAAACAAAAGCCAAAGCCAAACACCAAATTAAAAAAAAAACAAAACAAAACAGAAACCCCAGGGTTCTAAGCCCTTACACAGATTCTAGGTGACAGTGGAGCCACAGTGCACTCTAGTGGCCAGTGACAAACAGCAACTTTAAATCGCACACAGGCGCTGTGATTCCCTTCATTTTGAATAAAAGATGTGAGATTTTATAATGTGTCGGTGTGTTAGAGTAAGAATAATCACCCGTGATGCTTTGGTCTAATGTTTAACTTCTGATGAAAAGACGATGGATGGCCATCGCCTGCCACACAGCTGGAAGTTGTGGTTAAACAGCTGTGATGATGTAACAAATGAAAATGAACAAAAATTGTGAACTGCAGATAGACATGGTAAGGAGGGAATGCCAGGAGGGTCTGAAAGTGCTGGCGCATGCAGAGGCTTCCCCGCTCTACTGCTTTCCTAGAACTCCTAACAGTTCAGACTGATTTGTCTTACTCTCTTAGACTGTCAGGAGGAAGTTAGTAGAGATATATAGATAGATATAAGGAAGGCATCGTCCAGGGTTATATGGATGGGTCCCTGGGTTGCTTTAGAAGTTCTTACAAGAGCGAGAACTTGTCAATATAAGAGGCCAAGGAACTAGTTTAATAGACAAAGACAGACAGATGAAATGTGTTCAACAGCCTCTGAAGCAAATGGATCAAACCTGAAATAGTTTTGGGCTGTGCCGGGAACATTAGGAAGTTGCAACGCTGTGAAAATTGGAACTTGGTTTGAGTGAACATTTGGACTGAGCATGCGTGCCTATAACCCCAGAGCTTGGGAAGTCCTGCCTGGAGGACCAGGAATTCAAAGGAACTCAAATGTATTCTTTTAAAAACTCTGGAACTCTATTTTGTACATTTCCTTGAAGTCAAAACTGCTGAAAATGAGTTAAAATTAGCAAAAAGGAAATCAACCATGTAATTACTATTAATATATTTCCACACCAAGCAAGAAGTCCTCCCAACAAACATATACTGTAGAGAATTTTTTTCCTTAGAAAGTTCTAGTGTAAAGGTACAAAAGAAGCATGATGTAAATACATCACCAAGGATAGCACCCTAAACGTTCACACTCCAGTTCCAGTGGGAAAGCCTGCTGCCCGCTACTCACAGATAACCGCCATCTGTTATTGCTGGTTTTTACGTGGGTTTTCTAACTGCATGTCTTACAGGACAGGTGTCTCCTGATTCTGAGGCTCAAGTCTCTGAACAGTCACTTTTAGTTTAGGGTTCTTGAATTGTCACTGGGAAGTCCCGGGGATATTATTTTCAAATACAAGCCTCATGTTTCAAGAGAGAATTTGTGATCTCTGGTTACGTCCAGCAGGGCTTATGTCTAAAGATCACTCTGTCCATGGAGGAAAAGACATAACCCGGGGTATCTGCTGAAAGCTGAGTTGAAGAAAGCCATCAGCTTTGTGCACAGAAGGTAAGTGTCTGTGTATTGCTGTGGCTAAGCTGCTGGCACAGAGATATGTGGCTGAGTCCCCCAGCTTTGCAGACTGGATCTTGAGAGTAGATTCAACTCCATTAGACCAGACTGCAGAAAAACGTTCCTTGGGCAACTGTGAATCATCCACAACATCCTTATTCTGAAAGTAAACTAGAAGCTGGGGGCCCTGGTCTTTGGGCTGCTGATACCAGTAAAGGGTAATATGCCCAGAAACAGGGTCACACTGAAAAGAAACAGCCTGCCTTTCCTGTATGATTGCATATCTGGGAGACTGGGTGACTCCAGCTTCAGACAGCACTGTGGGAAAAGAAAACAGTGTTTCAAAATGGAAACCATTAAAACAATCCACAGAGGAATGCAAAGCAGTGACACTGCTTTTCTAAAATCTCACCTGCCTCCAGGAGACAGAGCACTGCCCAGCCGCGAAGCCTGGTGCCCATGGCAGAGTGAGGGCAGAAGAAAGCTCACCACGTCAAGGGTTGAGAGCTGCATTACTAGTTATCACATGACAGTTCCCACAATGACTTTACTGTCCCTGCAGACAGTCACAGTCTTAGAGCACAGGCTGTGAGTGTAAATGGTTTGGCATATGCACAGAATGCGTGTGATGCCATCCAGTGTCTTCACACACAGCTCTGTCTTTAGAGGACACAGACTTCTACATCTTGAGACCATCTTTCTAAGGCTCTGGTTGATGTTTCTACTCGAGTACCACAAAGACAACTCAAAGGCAACATTATTGAATGACCTCTTTGTCCTTTTTATTATCCTTCAGTTTGGTGTGTGCCTTTCATCAGGTTATAGCACGATGTATTTCAGGCATCACATGAAACTAGCTGACATATTCCAAGAATGGTAAAAAGATGCCCTCAACACAGGAAGGTTCTCTTTTGTCTGAAGTTCCAGGTTATTCTTTGCTTTCACTGCCATCATATCACAATGCTTTATATAAAAAAGCCTTCACGATGATTCAGCCTGCACTTCTAGTACACCGATGAATAAATGGTAGGATTAACACCTTTCCTTAGAAAGGTAGAGATCTTTCTTGGCCTAGAAAGCCTCATTCTGGATATTGTAATAATAAATGAAAATTTAAACAGCTTTTTAACAGGTTTGAACCTTTTGAAACTGACACCTCCAATACACTTTATAAATAAAGTGCACTGGTTAGTATCTGAATGTTGCTATTCCCTAATGAAGGAAACACGGTACAATGCACACATTTCCAGTGCTGTGGTGGGAAGGGAGAGGGGGGATGAGAACTTCTGGGAGCTGACATGAGAAACAAATCAAGGACATGTGCTCGAGACATGAGATGGTGTAGCTAGGTGGGCATAGATCATCTGCCAAGTCTCCCAAGTTTAGGGCAAATTTAGGTGACACATGCCTGTGCCACCAGCTGAAGATCTGATGTATGCAATTAATTATCAGACCCACTGGTTTTGTTCATTTGGCTCCATCAACAGTATAGAAGAGCTATTGGTTCAAGGTAAAATTAAGATGTGTCAGCTAATCACTCTGTGATAGAAGGTCGCTACATATCGCGAGAATGGTGCATGTTTCATTTTGTGACCAATGTGCTCGGTGATTTGTAGGTGTGTTAGAGACTGTGCTCCTCGGACAATATTAAAGACTGTGCTTCTCAAACAGTGTTAGAGGCTGTGCCCCTCAGACAATGTTAAAAACTGTGCTCCTCAGACAGTGTTAGAGACTGTGCTCCTCAGACAGTGTTAGAGACTGTGCCCCTCAGAAAATGTTAGAGACTGTGCCCCTCAGACAATGTTAGAGACTGTGCCCCTCAGAC